GCTCTAGAAACACCCGGCCCCTCAGTAACCGGCCGGCGCGTGAAAATAAACATCGTGTTGCCGTTTTTATTCCAGTTTTACACTAGAAACCCGTGTAACATCTGAAAAAACTGCCAAATGGTTTATTTTCATGGGGGCGGTTGGTTACTAGAACGTCAGTAAGACCGTTTTTTACTATTTTTTGTGTTGCCGTTGTTATTCCAATTTTACACTAGAAACCCGTATAACATCTGAAAAAAAAATTGCAAGACGGTTTATTTCCACGGGGCGGCTGATTACTAGAACGCCATAAGACCGTTTTTTACTATTTTTTTTTGTGTTGCCGTTGTTATTCCAATTTTACACTATAAACCGTGTAACATCTGAAAAAATGCAAAACGGTTTATTTTCACGGGGACGTCTGGTTACAAGAACTCCAGTAAGACCGTTTTTTCACTGTTTTTTTTTTCGAACAGTGATGCCCTGAAAATGTCATAAAAATTACAAATTACGGAAGGATAATAAATAAAGTTCAACCATAAGTGAGAAAAGTATATTGTGAATAATAAAGAGTCTAGTTACACTATGTACATAACGCAATCCCAAGATAAGTGACTTAAATTATTAAATAATATTTCGCGTTATATTATATAAAATATCTCTCATAATAAATCCGAGAGCAAGAAATAAAATTAAATTGAGAAACTGTGGATATTTTACCTCATCTGCGCATTTAAATCAGACATGTTTGGATGACTATATGAATAAAAATATAAATCTTGAAAAATTAAGAATTTTTGAAAAATTAAGAATTTTTTATTAATTAAGAATTTTTGAAAAATTATGAATTTTTGAAAAATTAAGAATTTTTGAAAAATTAAAAATTTTTCATTGAAATTTTTCGGAATTAACTTCCCAAGTAAGAAGCACTATCAATGAAGCCTCAAATTAGTTCAGGTCTAAAATTGCATTTTTTTTCAAACAATGATTTTTAAATATATGAACGATATTTTCGATGACGTCATTGACATTTGAATTAAAATCAGCCAATGTTTGAATTCAATTTTTATTTCATGAAAACCCAACAAATTTTCGAAAAAAACTACAGCATCGAACTTCATTTACTGTCATCACGCTTTTCCCGACGCCTTTTCTGACGCCATAAGCGATGTGTGTTGCATAAAAAAAACGTTTCACCACACGGTGATTTTTGAAGACTTTAAGTTACCGTTGCTAAATATTTTGTTATGATGCTATAATTTAACTGCACCCAATAACTGCACTCACCAATGCCCTTTGAATTACTAAGTTTTAATTTGTTTAGTCGTAAGTTCATTCATTACATCTAAAATTGGCGTATTATCTTATCATATTTCATTAATTGTATAGAATAAATGGAAGAAAAATTCCTTAACGCTAGAGTATACACGCTAGAGTTATTCATTTATTCAGAAGTAATGCGCGTTCATTTATTCAGAAGTAATATTCTTGGGAGAAATGCGCGTATTTTCAAGGCTTCTTCTTAACAACTTCCGTGTAAATTTCATTCGCTAGCCGTTGAGTGACCGACGGCCTGTTAATATGTTCCGAATTACAACTATATGCTCATTACCTTTACATTTACTACATTGAGAATATTTATTGCATCAACAAGCAAGTCATCATGCAAAACGTGTTCATGAGGTGTCTTGTTTTTTTTTAATATCACCACGAGTGTACTAAAGATGATGTCTGCAAGCCCAACCACACGGACTTTTAAGATTTTTTCAATGAACGAGCGAATATTGTCTGGTAAACATACGAGATCAATATTATTTTTCTAAGTCCAAAACCATATTCAAAAATCCTAAATTTAAAAAAAAATATTATATCGTAAATCCACAGTCTTTTTTACGGTTCAGTGCTCCAAAAAAATTTTCCATGATGATTATTTCAAAATTGCGATTATCGCAAGGCTTATCGATCAGAGGCCATACTTTCAAAACTCTTTAAGTGAACGTAAGTACTTACGCTCTATTTTCTTGTCTATGATTGGTGAAATTTGCTTGAAAGGCCGTCAATGATTGGCTGATGAACTTACGATCTCTTAACTTTTTTCGAAAATATAGGCCCAGGCAACCGCTCCTATAAACCTGCCCTCGGGCCTTCCAGCGAACAAAGCTTGAGGCAGCGAGTCGAGCTCCCGTGTCGTTCGTCATGGGAATTTTATGGGCATTTCCCATCAAGGCCGTCAATGAACCTGATTTATTTTTTCAAAACTCTTGGGCTGATGCACATTAAAGTCTAAAGCCTCGTGACGGCCTTGCAAAAATTATTAGATTTTTACTGAGGCTTTTTTGACGATTATACTTATCAGGCGATCGAAAAAGTTGCAGCGGAGCAAAACTGCGTCGATGCATAGGAAGAGGAAGGGCCAGTAAATCGATTATGGATAAGCTGTAAATGCTGCGCGGCTAGATGAAATTCTTTCGAAATTTAATTGATTGAAATTCTTTCGAAACTCAATTGATGAAAATTCTCGTGCAATTGATTGAAATTCTCGCGCAATTTATTGAAATTTTTTCGGAATCTAATTGATTGAAGTTCTTTCGAAATTCAATTTATTGAAATTCTTTAGAAATTCAACGATTTAAATTCTTTCGGAATTCAGTTGATTGAAATTCTCTCGAAATCCAATTGATTGAAATTCTTTCGAAATCCAATTGAGTGAAATTCTCTCGAAATTCAATTGATTGAAATTCTTTACAAATTCAATTGATTGAAATTCTTTCAAAATTCAATTGATTGGAATTCTTTCAAAATTTAATTGAGTAAAATTCTCTCAAAATTCAATTGAGTGAAATTATTTACAAATCCAATTGATTGAAGTTCTTTCAAAATTCAATTGATTGAAGTTCTTGCGAAATTATATTGATTGAAATTCTTGCGAAATTATGTTGATTGAAATTCTTTCGATATTCAATTGATTAAAATTCTTTCGAAATTCAATTTATTGAAATTCTTTCAAAATTCAATTAATTGAACTTCTTTCGAAATTCAATTGATTGAAATTCTTTCGAAATTCAATTAATTGAACTTCTTTCGAAATTCAATTGATTGAAATTCTCTTAAAATTCAATCAATTGAAATTCTTTTGAAATTCAATTGATTGAAATTCTTCCAAAATTCAATCGATTGAAAATATTTTGGAATATAATTGATTTGAATCGAAAAGATCGGATCTCAAAGAAACAAATTTTAATTCCGAATTCTTAACTTTTGACAAAGATCATCCGCATTTAGAATGTGGTAAGGTTCTGTCACTTTCTGAGGCAATAAAGGCTGGAAAATTTTAAGGTATTGACATCGCCTATTTTGGGGCCAGAATATTCTTTTAGATTTAGAAGTAAAATAAAAATATTATCTATCAATGGAACTTAGGCTAGTAGTTCTTCCTCTTGCCACGGTCAACAAGCTTGAACTTAATAGTCCAACACGAGTCGAGTAACACAGGGGATGTAATTTCTTTTGGCCTTCATATGACAGAAGTTCATGAGATGACTTGGGATATGGAAAAAATATTTCAACGTTCCCCTTTGGTTTTAGGTGATTAGTTCTGAGATATATTGACAATTTTTTTGTCAAAGGGATCATCCTTAATGACAGACAATCGGAGGCTGGCGGGTCACGAGCCTATATACCAGATCATGATGCTCTGTAAGCCATAAAAAGTGTTTATTGGAAATAAATGCTGCTGCATCGAATCTTGTCATTTGCAAGTAGCGGTGCTGAAATAAGATTGTTAGTGAGTAAAAAAATAGTTAACTAGGGAATCAATTAAAATTGTGACTGACAGTTAATTGCTGCTGAAATGTTTTGCGGTAAGAATTAGGGCTGTCAATTCAGTTACTAGGATAACTGTATGGGTTTCCTTAACATATTCATGACCATTAGTTGCAATTTTTACGTTTCATCATCGATTTTTCACGGTTTATTCTATCAAATTTGCTTCAATGATACTCGGTAAATTTTTCTTTGGTTCTGGAAAAAGCTCTCTCCGAAAAGCCGCTGCCTGATATTGCTGATAGACGTCGAGAGCTACCATAAGCTTTCCATCGATTCTTATCAAAATATTTTTAGACAAATATTCATGAGATCTATTGCACTCTTCATCCCGGAGTGAATCAGTCGAGGTTTATATGCCTACTCTTTTCAGCTTAACCTTTAACTACTTTTCTTACCATACATGTTATTCGAGCAGACGGGGAATTAAATGGCAATCTTACTAGTATAGCAGCAATAGTAGGTACTCTATAGTATATAACGTTGGCACTGCTAATAGTTCAGTCTGAAAGCTCTAAACCATAACACCGGGGACCTTCCTTTCGTGAGGAAACGTCGGCTCTTGATAAATAACTTCACTAATTGACGAATTATTGTCCCTGAACTTAGCACCAGAAACTTTCTCTTCAGGAGAAGGCACTTCTTTGTTCTCCGTCTCAGCCAAAACAGTTCCACGGAAAGGTTTTGATAGCAATTTGTTCTCACGAATGTTGATGACATGCCTTTCTCTGTCCCCTCGTGGCATATCCTTGGCCTTATAGCCGACTTTAACGTACGTATTTTCCTTGTAAGCAGCTAAATTTTGGGATAGACCGTAATTTGCAGTTGGCTCCTTAGAAGAGCTCCTACCAGTGCCCATTGTCTGATAGAGCGCGGGCGAGAGGCCCAAAGCGGCTCCGGAGGGCGCATATGAAGACACAGAAGAGCCATAGGCCTCTACATCTCGCCGCAGAACGACCGGCATTGTCCGTAAGCTGCTCGCCTCAAACTCGGACGGATGCTGGCCGTTCTGCTGCCGTCATATCTCGATGCCTTTCCCAGTCGAACTCATGTAAGAACATTTCGCATCTAGAGGACCATTGCGGTAGAGATGGCTATCTTTAAGATAGGCTTGGTCGTCTTTCGGAACGCTTTGGTACGTGTGGTAGAGAAACTCATCCGCCATTATGTGTCTGGTAGAAACTGTAGCGGACGGTTCGTCATCGGATGGCCAGGGAGCCAGAGGACTTGGCGACCAGCCCAGTCCCCGCAGCTTCTCTGAGTTCTGCCGTCGACGGTATCTGAGGAAGGATTGGTTACAGTAATAATAGGACTTTATCGAGAGGGAGGCAAGCGAGGTCAATTTGTGGCATAATCTATTCGAAGACAACGCATATAATGAACATTTTATCCTTCATAGTATTGCGAAGAATGTGCATGACAAACCAGATTCAGAGGAGGTAATTAACAGAAGTTTAATAGCTCACATACGGTACAGTAGTTTGCATGTTCTCATACGGAAGTTGGAGGCCTGGAGCTGGTCTCTGTACCTAATCTGGTCTCTGTACCTGAGCTGGTCTCTGTACCTAATCTGGTCTCTGTACCTGAGCTGGTCTCTGTACGTGAGCTGAGTCTCTCTACCTGAGCTGGTTTCTGTACCTTCACTGGTCTCTGTACCTTCACTGGTCTCTGTACCTTCACTGGTCTCTGTACCTTCACTGGTCCCTGTACCTTCACTGGTCCCTGTACATTCACTGGTCTCTGTACCTCTGGTCTCTGTACCTTCATTGGTCTCTGTACCTTCAATGGTCTCTGTACCTTCACTGGTCTCTGTACCCTCACTGGTCTCTGTACCTTCACTGGTCTCTGTACCTCTGGTCTCTGTACCTTCACTGGTCTCTGTACCTTCACTGGTATCTGTACCTTCAATTGTCTCTGTACCCTCAATGGTCTCTGTACCCTCACTTGTCTCTATTACCAGAAGCTGGGGCGACTCTAAATTTTGTTAGGGTAGGAGTTCTTCCCAGTGAAAATTTACAGTCGCGGCACCTTCTGATTTGGATTACCAGTAGCTGGGGTGACTCTAAATTTTGTTTGGGTTAATTTAAATAACTCAATACTTTCGTATGAACAGTAACCTGTTTAACGACCATCAAGCTTATATCATCTTCTCGAGCATCAAGAATCAGAGCAAGATAAGCGAAAAAATATTACATGATTTTTTTATATATGTCGTGCCGAAATCGCGGAATTGTTGATTTTATGGAATCGGCAGCCAGCTTGCCGAATCTGTAGAATCAGAATTTCTATATTATAGGAATATGGGGTTAGGTCATCAGCCAAGTTCTTTTTTTAATATTAAAATATAAAGGAACTTGACCGAGCTAGACCTAACCTTTTCTAACTCTAATTGCCGATTTATGTTCGTTCTAATTCTAACTCTAACGTTCTATTTTCCGAATCAGCAAAAAAAGCTGATTGGTCAGATTCGGCAAACTGGCAGCCGATTTCATAGAATCGGTAATTCCGCGAATTCGGCACAACATATATAAGAAGAGATCTGTTTTATGGCGCTTTACATACCCCATACATCGGTGAACCACAAAAACACGTGTAATGGAATTGAAAATATGTCAGAAAATCACATTGGAACTTTCACACTTATTCTTTAAAGCAATCTAACTCTGATTAAAGATGAAAGAATTAGATCACCGCGGTATTAACGACCTTCGACGATCTTTGATTATCATCACAAAATTAATACTAATCGTGATATATTTGATCATCAAGGAACCTAATATGTGGCCCCAGCCTCTCGGACCGTCAGAAACACTGAGTATTTTGCCGCTGAGGGAAGCGCTGCCGACATACGGCAAGCAGTGCAGTTTAGGAGACTGAAATATCACAGCTATTTACTGGCGAAGCTGCGCGTTCCTTTTCATGCACATCTTCTCAGGAAAAGATAAAAGCTGGTGTGTGGAGAGGGCTGGATGAGAGGGGAGGTTGAGAGGGAGAACGTGAGAGGGGAGGTGTGGAGGAAGAGAATGTGAGGGCGTTGTGTCATGAGAAGGAATGTGAGGTATGTAAGTACGAGGGATGAGAGGTATGTAATTACGAGGGATGATAGTTGTGTAACTGCGGGGAATGAGAGGTGTGTAACTACGAGGAATGAGAGGTGTGTAACTACGAGAGAGGAGAGGTATATAATTACGAGGGATAAGAGGTGTGTAACTACGAGAGGTGATGGTTGGGTAACTGCGAAAAATGAGAGTTATGTAACTGCCTGGGATGAGAGGTGTGTAAATAGTTGAGAGATTAAGACGTGAAAACTATGGGAGGAAGTACATGGTACAGAGCTATGGTGGAGTGACATGATACAATGGGAAGGATTTAGAAGTGTATAACTGCAAATAAGAATATAAGATATCTTCGTGAAAAATTGAGAAATGTAACTAAACAAACGTTGAAATGAACATTCCTAATAGAAAAATAATAATAATATAAATAAAAAACTTCTAGACAAATTGCGGGGTGTTTAAGTTCAAGAAGACTTGAGAGGTTTATTACTTCGAGAAAATTGTGATATTTATACCTATAGAGCAGGACTGAGAGGCGTAAAGCTAAAAAGTATTTAGATTTTATAAAGTACTGAACGTGTGCGTAACAATCGAAGCATAACGTATGGAGTGTGTGACATGGCATGGATAAGTGAGATATAATTAAGGAGGCATGGAAAAGTGGCATGGGAAGAGCTATGGAAATAAGGAACCTTGAGCATGTACATCAATGGGAGTTTGGTCAGTTCACACAGTTCATATTTTATGCTTATATTGTTTAAACGTCGGATTTTTTATGTCAATGACTTCCCGTTATCTCAATCACGTTCCCTGTTCAGTACAATGCTTCAAGCTTAGCTGCTGAGGATAAAACATTAGGAAAATTTGATTGACTCCAAGACAATTTGATGATTCTTTTATGTATCGACATTAGATACTTTTAACAGATGAGTTTCTGGCTCCATTCACAATCATATATTCGCTTTAAAACGGAAAACTCAAACAAACATGCATGGATGTTGGTCGGAAGAATTATTTTCTGTATTGAAATTATTCATTTAAAAGGCAATTCTTAGATGTAAACACCCAACTTTTCAACAACTGCTGGTTACTCGAATTCTCCTAAATATGGCAGCTACTCCGGTTATACCTTGGCCGCAGTTTATCAGGAGTAAATTTTTTAGCGCATGTTCTCATTTATGAAAAAAATGCACTATTGTGCTTGCCATGTCCGTCCGTCTGTCCGTCCGTGACCTCAAGTTTTCGTCGACGAGAAAATGCGTTCTCTGTCACTCACTGCAGTGAGTACTGAGTTATATTTTTTAGCGCAACGCGAGTTTCTTGCGAAATGTTTCAGTATTCAGGGCCATGGCTGCTACAATACATATATTCACCAGACAATACACGGACGTGGCTGCTACAATACATATATTCACCATGCAATACCCGCCTACGCGTGTTAGGGGTGAAGGCAGTCCTTTAATGAGCTCTGAACATTCAAACAATAAGAGGCAAGTGCTAAAATATTCAGCGGGACGCCGACACGATGTAAGATGTGCACCCTTAGCACATGTCGGTCGGCATTTTGTACTGAATCTTTAATATGAAACTAGGACTTTGTGACGAATATCAATTATATAACTATATCAAAAATGAAATCTTATGGATAATGTAAATTGTAGAAAATAATAGCTTAGAAACTAAAATGTATAATTTTTTTAAGTTAGAATAGTTAATAGAAGTAAATATATTTTGCATATACAAACATTCTAATTAATACTCGTATATGCGCAGTTATACCTCATACTTGTATAATTGTATTATGCATGATGCTTGAATGTGAACATTATTTTATGCCATTTTGCGCATGCCACTTGATAACATGGCATAACATTTGTTGCGCGCATGACAATGTCATGTGATGATTGCATGCGCCTATCATGCGATTCATGTAAGCACATAACATAAAATGCATTTGTACGCAAATATTGGGATAATCAAATGTGCAAGTCATGTGATGGTAGAACGCTCGTGCCATGTGATATTTCCTTGCGCATTTCAAGTTATGATTTTATGAGCATGTCATGATGAATTTATCTACATGTCATGTTATTCATATTTGTGAATAACAGGCGATGCGTTATTCCGTATGTTATGAGATTCTTAAATGCTTATTTAACGCAGTAACGGCAGGGACAGTAGACGATGTGTCGTGCAGTAACTCAGCTGGCGGATGAGCGATAAAAATAATCAGAGGCGGCAATCCGTCGTGGCCTGAGACTGCTAAAAGTTATTCAACACTTGGCTCGGATTATTCATTCGTTAAGTGAACCCAATGTGAATATCTACTTAATTTTGACCCATGGCTTTTGGAATATTACGAGCACGTACACGTATTAGTGAGGCCTGGGACTGCCACGTCCGAAGCAAATACCAAGGATACCAAGGATACCAAGGATACCAAAGATACCAAGGATACCAAGGGTACCAAAGATACCAAGCATACCAAGCATACCAAGGATACCAAGGATACAAAGGACACCAAGGATACCAAGGATACCAAGGATACTAAGGATACCAAGGATACCAAGGATACCAAGGATACCAAGGATACCAAGGATACCAAGGATAGCGACAAGACGCTCCTGATCCGACACCTAAACCCTAACAAAATTTAGAGTCGCCCCAGCTTCTGGTACCTCAAATCAGAAGCTGGGGCGACTCTAAATTTTGTTAGGGAAGCGGCGCAGGCGTACATTTCGTAGGGTGGCCTGGGACTGCTACGTCCGAAACAAATACCAAGGATATCAAGGATAGAGACAAGACGCGCGTGCTCTGACACCTAAAGTGGCGCAGGCGGAGTGAAGGTCTCTCCAGCGAACTGTTATAGCTGCCATCCACGGCTGAGCTTCTAGCCGAACTTGGACACTTTGGGTAAAGAGTTCTAGACTTTCGGACAGACATCAGGATTTAAAGTTCGGACTAGAAGACGTAGTCATTTTGCAGACTTTCACGATTGACGCGACTGACTGTCATGATCGACTTCTGTTGCAACGGATATCGTGTCTTCGTCGCAGTGTCGAACTGCTCGCAATTTGAACAGGAACAGGAAAATACGAAAATATTTTCTCTGTTGAACCTTTCGTTGTACTTTTATAAGCATTCATAATTCATAATAATAAGCATTCTCTGGAAATTTTTAAAGTAAAATGGCAGGAGTATTGGCAAAGGAAAGAAGGATTTTTAAAGGAAAATGGCAGAATAAAATAAGTAGGAGGATTGAGAAGTGCAGATGCAAGTGGGAAAATGAGATTTTTTATCCATTATACAACAAAATTTTCTATGGAATATCAAACTTTTATCTATTTCAACATTTCCAAAAATTTAGGCACTTATATTGCAAAGAATTTCAAATCAGGTGATATTTTTTTCAAACCTTATCTTGAGTTGATCGAGTCGGTGAAACAAGAGGATTAAAAGTGGCCTCAAAAGATCGCTCCGACCAAACAAAACTGCGTTTTTCAAAAATTTTTAAAACGAGTAACTAGTGACGAATTTAGTGCTATAGAGGAAAATAATTCTAGTTAAAATGTAAATATTCTGCTCCGTTTGAATTATAAATATTTTCTTTCTGTTGTGGAAAAGATTAAAAACTTGCGGTGGTCGCTGAAGTGGGTGATTATAAAAGCCAGAACGACCGGCATGTTTAGTTATCAATCTATATATTACAAAACTTGATCAAGAAAGGTAAAAATTCTAAATAAGCGATTATAGCTCGATGATCAATAGAGCTAAATTATGTGTAAATACGCCTTGTAAGTTGCAAAAAAACGTATGCTAAATTATGTGTAAATACGCCTTATAAATACCAAAAAAAACCTGCGAGGAATTTTATAGTTAAAGAAATCTCAACCAATGAAAAAAAAAACCTACGAGGAATCTTATCGTTACAGAAATCTCAACCAACTTCTGGAAAATAGCAAGGTTCTTCTAGACTTTTCTAAGCCTTCAATATCGACTTCATCTTGCTTTTTTGTCGATATTCAACGAATAATATTTTGACTTTTGCATTGGAATTATCATGCAATCAAAGGCTTGCAACCTGGATGGAGATAGCCGCCCAGTTTGCCTCCAGCAGTTACATGAAAATTTTGAACCTTCGATGCTCAAAGTTTTGAACCTTCGATGCTCAAAATTTTGAACCTTCGATGCTCAAAATTTGAACCTTCGATGCTCAAAATTTTGAACCTTCGATGCTCATAATTTTGAACCTTCGATGCTCAAAATTTTGAACCTTCGATGATCAAAATTTTTAACCTTCGATGCTGAAAATTTTGAACCTTCGATGCTCAAAATTTTGAACCTTCGATGATCAAAATTTTGAATCTTTGATGCTCAAAATTTTGAACCTTCGATGCTCAAAATTTTGAACCTTCGATGCTCATCGAGCGCTAAAGGCTGTCCAGGATCAGAGTTTTTGGTGAGCGGATTTACAAGTCGGAATTGAATAGAGAAATTCCTGACAAAGCCAACACGAAAGAACGCCGTGCTGTTTCTACACTAAAATAATACAAAATAACACAACAGATAATAATAATTTTGTATTTATTTCTAACCAAATTCTGATTTTTCAGTGGTGTCATATTTCCATGATTTTGTACTTATGTCGATCCAAATTTCGTCACTCAATGCGTCATGTAACTTGATAATGAATGATTGAAACATTCTTAAAGAATATTGTCAATTTTCCTAATGCATGTACTCTTTTAAACAATACTTGGTTGGCTTGATTACACTTGTGCAAAGTATTGTTTAAGAGCTAAAAGTGATTTTCATTCAAGTTTAAATCATTATACACTTAGAATCATTACAAAAACGAATATTAAAACTGGATGAAGACGAATACATAAAACCGAGCGAAAAAAAGCACAGGCAACTGGCCATCTATGAGCGCCCGGAACGCACTCGAACAAATCCTCTTAACTCTTGTTATTTTCCCTCAAGCGAAAGCTCCGCAAGCCGAAAAAAATGAACTAGTAAGCGGCTCTCTTTTTTTACGTCGTTTGTTTCCACTCGGACGTAGAGAACATTTTACTTGACGGCTGAGGATGCACTCTCCCGGATCGACGTAGCGCCAACATCACGACATATAATAAAAATTTTTGTTCTGAAACTAATGCGAAACGTTCTATGAACTAAATTGAAGGTAAACGCCAACATCAAGATATACAATAACAATCGTTGTTTTAATACTAATGCGAAACGTTCGATGAACTAAATTGGAGTTAAACGCCAACATCACGACATATAATAACAGTCGTTGTTCTGAAACTAATGCGAAACGTTCGATGAACTAAATTGAAGTTAAACGCTAAAATCAAGATATGCAATTAAAATTGCTGTTCTGGAACTAATGCGAAACGTTCGATGAACTAAATTGAAGTTAAACGCCAACATTAAGATATACAATAAAAATTGTTACTCTAGAAACTAATGCGAAACGTTCTATGAACTAAATTGAAGTTAAACGCCAACATCACGACATATAATAAAAATTGTTGTTCTGGAACTAAAGGGAAACGTTCGTGCCATTGAGATGTCGAAGTTCTGCGATGAACTAAATTGCATTCAAATCATAGCACGTTTCAGCTTGCTCGTAGGAAAATCGCATATCAAAAAATCAATAGAACTGCTTCTCCATTGAAGAATAACTAAATGAATGAACACAGTTCAGCTTTAATTAATTTGTTAGATTGCTGTGTATACACATAACAAATAAAACACATTACACTACACCTTATGCAACATATATTTTGGCTTGGCATGTCAGTACAAGCAAGGCAGCTTGTGTACGCTACTGACCTGGAGAGATGGACGCCGCGGAGGTTGTCGGGCATGGCACACTGCACGTCCAGAATTGTGGTGTTGGGTTGCGCCAGCAGTTCTGCCAGCCATCTCAAGGAGCAGTTGCACACCAGGGAGTTATCCCTTAAGTCGAGAGCCTGCAGAGCATCCCAAGGTGCACTGCCTCCTTCAACAGTTTCCAGAGAGTTACCTCGCAAGTCCAGGGCCTGGAGATCGGCCAGAGGCTGGAACAGCGTCGCCGGGAGTGATCGCAATAACGGGTTATGAGACAAAGTCAGAGTACGAAGTTTACTACAGTGAACGAGGGCTGCGGCTGAGACCGATGACAGCATTGGACATCGTGAGATTTCGAGCGTTGTTAATCTTCTTAGGCCGACGAAAGCTCCGGCGCTTAATTCTGTGATATTATTGCGGCTCAGTGAAAGACTTTCAACACTGACGAGTGCTGATAAAGCCGAGGTCGGGACCGTACTCAATAAATTGTTGCTCAGGCTGAGCACTTCGAGAGCCTCAAGATAATGTAACGCGGCGGCATCTATGTTCTCTATGCTATTGCCATCTAATGATAGAGATGTCAAGCGGGGTAATGGCAAGTCTCCTTCTAAAACTTCAACGAGTCGATTTCTGCTTACATCTAAACTTTTCAGTTCTGATAGCTCCGTGAAGGCAGTGCCTGGCAACTGGCGGAAATAGTTTTCGCTGATATCTAATCTCTCCAAGTTGACAAGCCCACGAAATGTTGGCACGGCTAGACTGTGTAGTCTGTTATGAGAAAGTAATAATACTTGCAGTGATGGAGTGTGAGAAAGTGTGTCTGGAGGGATGTCCCTTAGTGCGTTCGAGCTGAGATCTAGCAAAGACAGCTTGGATAAGCCGATAAAGGATGTTTTCTCAACGGACGATATGTTGTTGTGGCTGAGCCTCAGCTGACGCAGTTCTCTCTGTGCCACGAAGCTCTCATGGCTGAGACCAGATAATAAGTTATGTGACAAGTCCAGCTTCTCAAGGTTCTCGTAAAAAAGAAGCTCCTGGTTTATGGTTCTCAAGCGGTTGTGCGCGAGGTTAAGATTCTTAAGGGCGGGATTCAGCAACATCGGTACCATGTTCAAGGTGACGCCGACACACTGCACCTCCGGCATGTCTTCGTTGCAAGTGCAACCTGAAGGGCAAAAGGCCGAGGCGGCTGCACCAACGACCAGCAGCAGCAGCCATCGCACCCAAATCATTCCTGAAGAAACAAGATATATTTATTATTACCTGTGAATAATTATGGACGTGCTTTATTTGATGGTTAGTGAACAGCAAAATGGAAGCATATACATTGAATAGGATACTCCACGATGAGAACGATCTCGTGCGAAGAAAAATTTGTGTCTTAAAAAGGGAAGAACGTGCTTCAGTAAATGTTCGAGTTGAAATGAAGGAAAAATTAGAAATAATTCATCATAATTTAATTTAAAACGTTTTGAAGACCTGCTCCATCAATTCGAAACTTCAAAAATTCAATTGAAATCAACAGGAAGACAAAATTCACTTGAAGGACATAAAAACTTGCCAAATAAAAGTGCGAAGTAATTAATAAGCCATCAATTAACACTTTCAAACTATAGAAAACAAGAGTGTTGTTATGCCAAAGTTTTCGTTTTAAAATGTGCAGCGATTCCAAAATCTTAGGATCTGAGGCATTAAAGTTGGAACCTAAAAGCTTGAAATCGCTCTCGGACGCAGAAGTGTCGTAGTGTTCGGCGTGAACGCCCACACCAGCATGAGAAGGGTCAGCGAACAGAACTGATGAGCGATAATCCCTACCACGGATTTCGCTAAATCTTATGCAGAAGCTACGCCGCGTCATTCAATTGCACGGTTAAACGAATCCAGTATAATTATAAACAGGAGAGGAACACTCTCGGGCCAGGAAAACATTTTTATTAGCCAATTTTAAATGATGGACCACCAAGAAACATGTTAGGTAACTTTCAAAAAATATTTTCTGGATCTATAATTGGTTAGCTTCAGACGAGCTGTCAGAGTACAACAAAATACAAGAAATAGATTTTTCACTATCAACCTCAGTAACATTTTCAGAGTGTCGCTAAGGTAAAACTTATAAAATAATAAACTGATTAGTAAAATAATCTGGATAGGGTTGACAGTAACTTTATGCAGAATAGTACGCACGCAGGGAATTCAAATCCGATACACAATCTCAAACCCAAATTTAAATCTTTAGGTTTTTATAACATTGCTGCGATGTTTTAAAAAGCAAGCATTATTTCATGCTAACTTCTGGAGTAATGCATTTTAATGAGCAATTATACAATCTTGCTAATCAAGAAGGCTCAAGTATCACTGGGACAAGCACAAGACTCGCCGCTCTGAGGAGCAATCAGCCAGAAGAAAATCTTTCATAATCTCCTTAATACAGAGAATGAGACTGGAGCTTTGGAGCATAAAATGAGAAGATACCCTAACAAAATTTAGAGTCGCCCCAGCTTATGGTAATCCAAATCAGAAGCTGCCGCGGCTATAAATTTTCACTGGGAAGAACTCCTACCCTAACAAAATTTAGAGTCGCCCCAGCTTCTGGTAATCCAAATCAGAAGCTGGGGCGTCTGTGAATTTTCACTGGAATGAGACTGGAGCTTTGGAGCATATAATGAGAAGAGACGAGCTTGCTTGAGTAGCTTGTAATTAATTAGCTTTTGTTGACTGGAATTGATCGTGTGGAGCTCGAGATGCTCTTCTCGTTTCTCATTAGTGAAGGAATAATTTGAGTGTTAATGGAGGCGCTTGGCTCTCAACAACACTCATTGAGAACTCATTGGGCAGTCGTACGAGCGTGGCTACGAGGAGACTTGCCTTTAACAAGGCATTTAATGCTGGTACAACGAGCACTAACTTTTACTACCCAACTGCAGCTACAAGATTTTTTAGTTTGGAGCGCAATTCGGAAAAAAACATCATTAGTGATAGTAATCATTCATTAGCCGGGTTTTCTTTGTAATGAAAGCTTGAACTTCGGTTGAATTTTAAACAAAAGTTAAGGTTATTATAGCTGCACCATGAACTCCTCTCTCATTGGAATATATTTTGAGACACTTAATCTTGAAAAATTCGAGGTTTAATTATTTTCTACGCAAATAACCGGCATGCTAAGCATAGATTTGCCAGCACTAAAATGAAAGCGAGCTAAATAACAGTTTAATTATAGAGACCATAAGGTACACTGGTTTTAACTGTACATTTACTTATAGAGGAACTTTTCATGGAAAGACGAAAACTTCAGAGAAAATTCTTGATCAGTGTTGTTAAACCAGCTTATGAATGAAAACGTGATTATAATTGTTGATTAAATTATGATCATTATATTTCAAGTTGCTCATTTAGGCTGAAGATTTTTAACAGCACATCGGCGGCCATTGCTGTTAGCATTTAAACAATGATAAAGGTTTAGATCAATGCTCATAAAAATATAAAATATGAACCGGAAATCGGATTCGATGAAGAGACCTGATCTGATGTAATGCAAAGACCCGATCTGATCTAATGTAAAGTCCTGATCTGATGTAATGCAAAGACCTGGTCTGATGTAATGCAAAGACCTGATCTGAAGTAACGCAAAGACCTGATCTGATGTAATGCAAAGACTTCATCTGATGTAATGCAAAGACCTGATCTGATGTAATGCAAAGACCTGATCTGATGTAATGCAAAGACCTGATCTGATGAAATGCAAAGTCCTGATGTGATAAAATAAAGATAAGATACGATGCAAGGCAGCAATTATAAAGACGCCATATCTCGTGTGTAAGTCTCACGGTGCCATGGCAACGGAAGCGCCTCAGTACATCAAAAAACTTTATGTCTGCGTAAACACATCCGTTTTTCAATTATATAAGGACTAAAAATTAGCTCATGTATATCTCTAGAATTCTGTTGCTGATTTGTTTACATTTCGCTGTACCGGGAAGTTTATCGTAAATGTATTATAAATAGATTGTCAAACTGCTGATGGATCTTCGAGCTCGTGGTGATGAGTGCCGTTGAGGTGATGGATTATCAACAAATTGATTTGGCTAAAAATTAATTATTTTTAATCACTAAACGATGCACTGAGAGTAGCTGATAACCCAGACTCTAAAACCTTTCAGAAGTAATTTCAATACTTCAATAAATGTGAATGTTATAGAATATTGACAATTCCCAGGAAATCCTTTGAAGACATAGAGCGGCGAGAGAGTTCTTAGAGATAGATTGCATTTCGATACGTTCATTCCTGCGCCGTATTTCAGTGGCAGATCTCGATAGCGAGCAGTTCCCCATTAAGAGATCCTCTAAAATAGAACAGATCAAAGCTGCTCTGCCTAATGACGGCGGTCGCTAACCGATCTGCGGTCGGTAGGTAGGGAGTAGATGAAACGCTTCCTACATTGCTGATATTCTTAAACCAAATGCACGTGCTTATTCCCAGGCCACATACGCGTGCGTATTAATAACAATTAATTGAATACCATATTCATTTATATAATCGTCATACCTGTTTAAATTAACATCTTGTCAAGGACTACTACACACAGGACATGCATAGCCTATGTCCAGCCTCTGCTAGCAGAGGCGATCGCCTACACTATGAAAATGCTGTTGTTTTAGTGGCATCAACAAATGATATGCCCATAATTGTTTCATACAATAGTATTACAATGTGTGTAGTAGTCCTTGGTCAGANCACTCCATTTAAATATTTTTTTTATCAGTGTATGAAGGCAGGAAAATGGTACCTACTTTGCTTAGTACAAAATTTTGAACTTCAAAACTGGCAAAAAGTCTATGGTTCTGACCAAGGACTACTACACACATTGTAATACTATTGTATGAAACAATTATGGGCATATCATTTGTTGATGCCACTAAAACAACAGCATTTTCATAGTGTAGGCGATCGCCTCTGCTAGCAGAGGCTGGACATAGGCTATGCATGTCCTGTGTGTAGTAGTCCTTGCATCTTGTACATACACTCATTCGTTAATTTTAGATGCACATTTGTCTCTAGTTATACCAATTTTGTCAGCATACACGGGTTTATACATAATCCCCACACTCGTATTCATTAACATCATCCGCACAATCGTATTTTTAAATATAAACTGCATACTCGTATTAATTGATATTATCCGTGTTCTCGTTCTAATTACTATCATTACTATCACATACTCTTGTTCGTTAACATCATTCGCTTTCAAGAATTCAGTGTACACATGCTTAAATTTCTTCATTTCATTCGTGCTCATGTATTTATAAGTATCATCCGTTTCTCGTTTGTATTAGTATCATCTGTATACTCGTATTAATCAATATCATCAGTATACTCGTTTGTATGTGTATCATCGGTATTCTAGTATTAATTAGTATCATCCGTATTCTCGTCAATATTATGATTTCTACAGACTCGGATTTGAAAAGCCATTGCCTAGGTTGCAACTTGTCACTCCTATGATATCAACTTAAAATGCCTTCACAATAAATGAAGCGTTTTCGTTTTAGTCAACAATCAAGTTTCAGGAAGACCAATTCATTGGTAATTAGTGACACAAAAATATACCGGGCAGTTATCAAATAATTGTAGCGAAGTTAACACCATCATTTTGGTTAGGAAGTATGACGAAAATCTTGAGTGCCCACGGGGCTAAGTTGAGTGAAAAATATTCTTGCGATGTATAAAGAAGGCGGACTTCAATTCATAGCCCTAGGGTAAGTTTATTGACGCGGTAATCGTGTTGTTCGTGGGAAAGTCGTTCGTATTAACGCGGTAATCGTGTTGTTCGTGTGAAAGTCGTTTGTATTGACGTGGTAATCGTGTTGTTCGTGTGAAAGTCGTTTGTATTGACGCGGTAATCTGTTGTTCGTGTGGAAAGTCGTTCGTATTGACGCGGTAATCGTGTTGTTCGTGGGGAAAGTCGTTCGTATTGACGCGGTAATCGTGTTGTTCGTGGGGAAAGTCGTTCATATTGACGCGGTAATCGTGTTGTTCGTGTGAAAGTCGTTTGTATTGACGCGGTAATCGTGTTGTTCGTGTGGAAGTCGTTCGTATAGACGCTGTAATCTGTTGTTCGTGTGGAAAGTCGTTCGTATTGACGCTGTAATCTGTTGTTCGTGGGAAAGGCATTCGTATTGACGCGGTAATCGTGTTATTCGTGGGAAAGTCGTTCGTATTAACGCGGTAATCGTGTT